AGGTGAAAATAATTTGCATTTTATTTCCCTTCTCAGTGTCCACTGAGGGGGAGGACAAAGAATAGAGTGGGAGGGCTTGCAGTTTTGTTTTGTATTCTGTGGAGAGTTGGATAGGCTATAGATATGTTTCTTACTCTGTGTGCCATTGGATGCAGAGGGAAGCTCTGCAGCTATACTGTCTGCCAAGTAGGGTAGAACTTGTTTGGGAGGAGCTTTGGGTTGTTGCCTTTTCTTGCCTTCTGAATGAAGCATTTCCATTGCAGATGGTCTGTTTCCTCCCCAAAACCAGCAAATACTTGGTTGTAGCTGTATTGCATCATATTGGCAATGTTGGATGTCTAATAAAATAATTAATATAGCTATATATAATGTACAGTGAAACATGGAATCAACAGTGCTTTACACATGATTTTAGTAATTGTAATTACATTTTTGAATGGCAATGTATTTCAGGCCCCCCTCAAGCAAACACTTAAGCAGCTGTTTAACTCTGAGCATGAAGACAGTTCTTTTGAAGTCCACATTTCAGTCTGTATAACGACCTAGATACAGTAACTCCAGTGCCATTTTGTTTTGCTGTTATCGTGAAGCTAGCAAATGCTTGTAGAACATCTTTCCTATGTAATAACCAAAAATGGGGTTCAGAGACATTGATGCAAGGACCAGATTGACCCTGTTCACAAGAGGCTATATATGTTATACTTTAACTTAAATAGCAAAAGTTGTAGTGAATAATACCAAAGGTTCAAACTGTGGAAATTATTCTGATTTTACAGAATCACAGAGTCATTTAGGTTAGAAGGGACATCTTGAGGACATCTTGTCCAACCCCCCTGCTTAAGCAGGGTCAGCTAAAGCAGGTTTCCCAGGATCATGTACATTTGGTCTCCACAATCTGTCTGGGAAACCTATTCCAGTGCTTGATCACTCTCACGGTAAAAAAGTGTTTTCTTGTGTTCAGATGGAATTTAATGTGTTTTAATTTGTGTACATTGCTTATTGTCCTCTCACTGGGCACTGCTGGGAGGAAGAAAATAAAGTGAAAGGCTTGGGAACTGAGATAAGGATAGGGAGGCATGACTCATCCATTATGGTCACGGGCAAAAGTCTGACTCATTAGGTGAAGAAAAAAACACATCAATTTAATTCAGACACTAACAACAGCAACACTTAACAGACATAGGACAGTGAGAAGCATTACCACATCTTAAAAACACCTTCCCTTCTTCCCAGGCTCAGCTTTGCTCCTGATTTGTCTACCTCGTCTCAGATTACCCTTCTTAAATACGTTACCTGCAGAGGCGCAGCCACCACTGCTAATTGGTCTGGCCTTGGCCAGAGGCGGATCTGACTTGGAGCCAGGGAGCTCTGAGAAGCTTCTCAGAGGGGCCAGCACTGTAGCCCCCTCCCCTGCTACCAAAACCACCACCACACACACAAACCCAGCACAGGCTGTTAAAATACTGGTGTGTCTTGTAATAATTGCCTCAATATGGGTTTAAGAAAAATAGAGCTTTTCAAATTTGTGAAGATTATCTTCTGGTTTTGTTAATAATGAAAATATCACTCTGGTAAGGTTTGATAAACTGGTAGTGTGACACAATCCTGTACTTACAATTAAGTAATCCCAAAAGGATAGTAATCAAATGGTTTAACACCTAAGTGACTGACAGAATTCAACATACAATTTAAAGCAAGAAATCATAAATGACTGTATGAGCTTCTAATAGGCAACCTCATGG